CAACTAGACTGAGACGCTGGGAATGAAACACCACGCTGCAGACAGACAAAAACACAAACACGAGTACAAGAGCGCGCGCGTCTGAGACACGCAAAGCCAACGCGCCCGCATCAAGCAGGAGCGTGCACACTCTGTGTACACTCACGACGGCGAGCGCACACAAAGACACACAATGACAGAAACAGGACCAGACACAGCTAGTGTCAGAGCTCTGCCACCAAAACAAGAATTTCCAAGACCAGAGTGGCAGAACCCTGACAAATACAATCAGTTAAATAGACTTTGGCATTCATTAGGTTGCTCAAGCGTAAAATGACACAAATAGCCGTTTACTCGCACGTGCCTGTCAGAATCGGCAGGCTAGAAGCTCCATTGAATATACTGTGGTAAAATAAATGCTCATAATATAAAGACATGGCGGGGAAACTTAAAAACGTTTTTCCTTATCACAAACACAACAGAAGTATGGTAGTGATTGCGTTGCTTTTTTCGGGGTTAATTATTGTGAAATCCCGATTGCAAAAGAGAAATAATGTAGACTGTAACACTGTAAGAAGATATCTCTGTAGATGGAGGGCATTTCATGTCACGTTCAGCCTTATAATCTTAAAGTGTGAGCAAAATCAGCTGTTTTGTAATCTCTTTATACATTACGCTATGGAAAGTCATTCAAACACTAGCTCTAAAGTGACGTTGGTGAATTAGTAACGGTTTCTGCTGTTCTGACGCCAGCATCAGATGTGAATAAATGGCAGAAGAAAGTAGTTGCTAATAAAAAGGGGTTTTTAGACTCTTATTTGATTTTCTTATTTATATACATGATTGTGCCATTGAACTGTTGTAAAACGCAATATCAAACTCGTAGCAGTGCGATATGGCTGTATATCAGCACTGGTGGGAGGCAGCATCCGCACTAGTGCTGATATACAGCCATATCGCACTGCTACGAGCACTGCTACAAATATTATAGAAAATACTATGAAAAATTCCTGAATCTGTTAAACATCTTTGAGAAATATAAAATAATATATAAAAATATAAATAAATATTTACAGAAGGCCAAATTATTTTGACTTTAAATGATAATCATTTTGAATAATTGTAATTACAATTATGACCAAAATAATCATGACTTTGATTTTTCCCATAGTCGAGAAGCCCTAGTTGATATCTTTTTTTTAGACAAAAAAATATTATAATTATTATTATTATTTTTTGGTTTTGCATGCAAATGCACTACTACAATTGCCACAAGGGGCACTATAATGATATTAGAGCTAAACAGTTGGCTGTAGCAGGCAAAATGATATTATGCAGCACTGTTACCTAGTTGTGGACTATTTTCAGGTACTGCATAATATCAGGCCCCATTTACACTAATACATTTTAGTTTTCAAATGCGTATGTTTTGCTACGGTTACGCCTTCCGTCCATACTACCCCAAAGTTTTTGAGCCCTAAAACGGAGCATTTTGAAAATGCTGGAGAGGCTGTTTTCATTTTAAAAGGAGGCTGCTGCTCAATGTCAGTGTGGATAGAGGAAACCAGAAACATCTGAAAACACAGGAATGGCCGCAGATCTTCGCCTATCTGATTGGGCCTTTTCCTTAACATTAAGTGCACAAAGTTCAGTCTTGCATCAATTCCTTGTAAGTTCAGACTTCGCAAGTTTGATATGGAAAACAAACTTCCGAGGACATGTCGGGTTAATCTTTAAAGGGAACAGAGTAGTCAACTTTATAACATCATTCATGACACCCTGATTTGATTTGATTTATTTATTTTTGAACAGAAATTTCCTACATAAAAATTCTTTAACAAAAAACACATTTCAACATGGTCGAAAATGGAGCAAGATGAAGCACAAGCTTATTATTTTCCCACCCCACTATCATACACATCATTCGTCTATCTCTTCAACTTATTTCTTCTTTTACTTATCTCTTTTTTTTATATGACACACATGAGCTTTGCTTGAGACATATTTGATCCTTTTGGCATATGTTTGATTCCATTTGTGCATTTTTTTATAACATACACTTAAAAAAAATAATACATACATAGTATTACTAACAGCCAATAAGTGAAAATTTTATCGTATTTTTTCTTAATTTAATATTTTTCAATCATCATTATATTTCTTTAATGTTATATATTTATACAACTTTTTGAATGTATTAATATCCTGACATTGTTTGAAAATCTGTTCTAGACTGTTCCATAATTTCACACTACATACAGACATGCACAACCTTTTAAAGTTGGCCTTGTTTTTAACCTCCTAGAATCTTGTTCTTCTCTCAGATTATATCCCTTTGTCTTTCTTCAAAAAACTTTTGTATGCATTTTGGAATTTATTCCTAGCTTTAAACATAAATTGTGCTGTTTTAAATTTAACCAAATCATTGAACTTTTAAGTTAAAAAAAAAATAAAGAATTTTTATGCTCCAAATACCATCAATTTAATAACTTTTTTTACATTGTAAATTAGGCTATGTTGTACATATGGCTATGTTGTATCTTAATAAAATGAAAACATTATATAGGGAACTTCCTATTTATTTTGATATTAACTTAACAGACACCAAAAATGTTGAGGCATTATGTAGCTACAAATTATATGACCGTCATTTTTACTGTATGCAAATTTATAAAAACGGAGCCTAAAACATAGTTGCCTCATTTTCTTCGAAAAATACGAAACATACTGTACGCTGTCTCTTTTGCTTAATATCAGTTTTAATATTCAATAATGGACATTGTAAAAGTATGACATACAATAAGTGTATACAATAAAGGCAAGCACTCAGTCAAATGTGCAGAATCAGTGTAAGCGGTTAAATAAATTAATTTATTAACTTATCTTTGCTCTCAGGCAAAACACATTACCTGAGAACACGTAATAAATTAAAAGGACCTGTTAGATGAAGAGAAGATGAATGAAATATCACATTTAACAACTTAATGTGATGAAATCCAGTGGAAGATTCTTGCATTAACTGCAGAAAGGCAAATAAAAAGTTTTCGACTGACTAGCTAAAGGTACATCATCCACATCGTTATGCTAGCAGTCAATCCCATAAGGTCTCTCTAAATTAGATTAATTATAATATTAATAGTTTATTATACACACACATTCGGTTATAATGAAAAGAGTATTTTTTTTCTGCAGTAGCCTAAATAAATCTTAAACATTAGACATGCTTTTACATTACTGTATTTACAAAAATAGCCTGTAAATACCCTAATAATAAACTTTTCTTATTAAGAAATTATTTTTAAAATCTGCTTATTTTTATGTTGTTGACTCCCAAAACACCGGTGACTCATTTATGCGAATGTGTTTATAAAATCATAAACATTTTCTGATTATTTGACTGCATTTTGCAACTAAAAGAGCATATTTTTCAACTGCAACGAGGCCAATAAACCAAGAAAGATAACCAAACCGATAAGTGGTATCTATGAAAGTAGTAATACTGTTAAAACCTTAATGAGATCTATCCCTAATTGCACATGAATCACATACAATTTTAAACATGATTCAATGCCCCAAAACAACCTTTTGCTTTCATGACTAGCAGTAAAAGTAATTAGAAATATCATTGTAAGTTATTCTGATAACAAACATCCAAACTTCATCAACACAATTCAAGTTTTGTTTAAATGATTAGACATTTACAATAACAATTCATTGAAATTCCTACACATAGCCTTTTTATGTTTGTTCAAATGGACTACATGACAAAAGAGATAAATAATAAAATTGGAGGAAAAGGCAGAAAATGATTAGTTGTGTGGGTTTGGTGGGAAGTTCATTACTAGTCTGGTCTTGTCGAGGGTCTCAAGTACATCAATCTTTCAGGTAGGAAACATTGTCAGGGATGTGAATGTAATTTCTTGACACAGAACAGTTGTCAGGGAGACGGATGGAAGTTTGGATCAGCCTTTAACACCCAAGTGTTAAATATCAAGTGTTGATTGGTTTAAACAGAACCAATACGTTTCTGAAGCTAAATTACTTGTCCTCTAGCTAATGCACAATTTAGTTACAGACTTTGATTCATAGATGAATAATTTTGTTAACAAATAATTTCCTCTACAGTAAAAAATTCTAGAGAAAATACTTTTTTTTTTTTTTACTGTGAAGAGAATATTAAAGATCTACTTTTGCACTGTATTTGTTTCTGCTGCTAGTGTGCTGTAACACACAACTCTGGTGAAATGTAAGATGCTCATTAGGAAATTGCTTTGGACTAAGTGACTAAATGTAAATGATGCATCTCGCTCATTGATCCGTTCCATGTATGGCACATACTCTGATTATAATAGCTTTGTAGGATTATATATTTTTAAAAAAGAGTTTTATCTGCACAGACCTGAATAAAGAGGGTAAACTTTACTAGAGGAGGGTGTTCAAAAGACTGCCATGAGACCTTTATAATCATGATATGACACATTATGAATGTGAATGAGATTTTATGCATGCTTATGATATCTGTCCTTAATTGTAGTTAGCTAAGTTGTGTAATTTTAATTGTGAAGGTGACATTGTTTGAGATATCTTTGTTATAACAACATGACAGACAAATACATCATAACCTGTTTTCGTTTACCAACTCACATCACTTTACTAAAACAACATTACTTAAATATGTCATAAACATGACTATCACGCATTACACAGAGTTACTACAATTGTTCTTGACCTCAACTACACTAAATCTGCTAATTGAATTTGACACTAAAATGTCATAATATAATTACACTATAATATTTTTGACAAGGTATTGATACATTTAGTGAGAAGTATGTTCCACTAAAAAAGGTGATCAGAAAAATTTGACAGTTATAATGGGCTCATGACAATCATGTTTATGAAAGATTTATGACAAGTTAAGTTGTTTTGGTAATGTGAAGTCATCATGACATATGACAATGTGTACATATGCAAATGAGAATCTAGTGCAAATTCATTGCAAAATATTTAGAAAAACTTACAATGTTCATGAGGGTCAGAAGGTACTTCTGGATGTGCTCTCTGCCATGAAACATCACCACGGAGCAATCGACCCCCAGAAGAACCTCGATGTTAAAGATTTCATCTTCATACGTCTCTCTGCGTGCTCGCGAGTTGATTTTCTTCTTCACATGTTGGGGTAACAACTCCAGTGCAGCAAGACCACCCAGAGGAGAACCTGACCAAACAAAAGCAACACAATTTTCACAAGACGATCATTTACAGGGGCAAAATCATAATGAATGAAGATTTGATTTATTTTTATTTAATTTTTTTATTTGTTACCTACAAACTTCTATATATCATATTGATGGTGCTGTGTTAATTTTCACTTTCCTAAATCATAAAAATAAGCTAATATGTCTGCAGATATTTAGGAAACATGCGAAGTTAACAAACTTGTTTATCTTCAAAAGTCTGTTATTTTCTAAAAGTGTTAATCTGTCTGTCCTAATCTGAATATCTGTCTATGCTTTGATTCTGTGTAACTCCGCCCACTGACAATTTGCCCAATTATATCTCAGCACACTGGGTCAAAGACTCCAGAATACACAGAACATGTTACTTGTATAGTATTAAATGAAGTCCCGCCTTTTACTACAGCAGCCAATCAGCGGTCGCTGATTGGCTGAGCATTCTCTGGAGGAGGGGCTCTGATCAGACATGAGTTTCTGCAGATCTTGTGTGATCCAAACGTTTAGAAATGAAACTAAAGACACATTTGTTGTATAATTTCATTGGTGATTCCTAATATGAAATGTAATCGTAAGCTTGGCAAGCAATTTTGGAGAATTTAATGATTATGCCCGTGCATACCATCCAAGAGACATTTCAAAGATGGCTGCAAAGTGAAATGACTTGCCTTAAAGGAACTTTACTGGGTTGCCTTGGTGAAAAAACACCTCTTATTTCATTTTAGTCATGAAGGTCTCTGGGAGGACAATAGCAGCCTCCGAAATGAGACACAGATTCAGAGTTATTTAAAAAAAGCATGTGATGTGTTTTTTTTATTTTGTAAACAATTCAAATTTTACAAATGTAAACATTAGCTGATCAGCTTACAGTGCAAGGCTCAAACTTAAGGCATGCTTGCTATCAGTTGGTGTTGTCAATCTGGCAACCTGCATGTGCATCATGTCAGGGGGCTGGGTGAAAAAAAAACCCTATCCAATATTTTGAATTTGGACCGCAATTCCTGGTCAATCCTACATACTGTGCCTTTAGGGAATATTTGAATATACCAACTTGGTCCAAACATTCAGCACTTCACTTTAACCATATTTAAAAAACAACATTGAAATAGAACATTCAATAAGCCATAGAAACTAAACTGCCCATGGTATATTGTTTAGACTGCAGATTAATATCGTTATTTGGCCCATTACTTAATAGGGAAATAGTTCTAGAATGTGGAAAAACAATGGCAGTGTGTTTCTCATTTCATTCAGTACATTCTCTCTCCTGTCACTTAATACACGGCACCAACACTCTCTCAACTCCAAAAGCTTTCATGTTCAGATTGGGTGGCACTTAGACATGTCTCTCAGTCTCTCAGCCTCTTCCAGTGCCAAAACTGCTCGAGCGAGGGATAGTGAGAGGTGAAAGAGAACCCAAAACCATGCCAGCCTAAAAAAATTACTGTACCAATTCACTTTGGCTTGCACTTTGAAGAAGAATAATTCTCAGTATTATGCAAATGATACCAATCCATGGTCTCCGGCCCCAAAAACATGTTGCTCTTGTACTTCATTATACAAGGTGGTATTCCTCTCTTTATTTCAATGCAATGTGAGCTAAGAAATGCATTTATTCCATGCTGTGTCAGTTTATGATTCAGATCTGAAGATTTTGGTCTGCATTGATTTACAAATCAGTTTGAATGATTTCTTAATTTCTCTGCACAGTCATCATTTAATGTAGTTTCTCATTAATAATTTGACATTGTGAACATGAAAAGCATTAGATGAAGTAGACTTGACCAAACTGCAAATGCATTGTATAGTTTGCTAACTTTAATCGTAGTTCTGTCTGTAAAGGAATCATACTATTGGTAAGACAATTTACAGAAAAAGAGAAAATTATCTAAAGGTTTTACCATATATCCGTTACGTAATGAAGTTTGCACTGCGCACTCGCGTTTTTAAAACATTTTTGGTGCGTTAATCTTTGTCAATAATATTATTAAGAAGGTCATGATTCGCACTCTTTAACTAATTTCTTTGTATAGCTTATATTTTACATTCTTCTGTGATCCAAATCACAGACATTTCGGCACAATGTTTTCCTCAGTGTGTGAAAAAATCCTCTCATTCCACCCTTTTATCCCACAGTCAATCACATTACATCATTAGTTAGATAGCCACTCGATAATTAAAAACAAACACATTTTCATTTTTATATACTGTAATTAACCACACAAGAAATATTTACCTTCACCTTTAAAAACATTATTTCACAGGAAAATAACATAGCAATTATCTTCATTCACTTAATTCATGTCTACATCAATGCAATGAAATTCCGACAGTCCAAAGCATTAAAGTTCCATCATATTACATCATTACAAAAAAAAAGGAATCTGTTTTTAATGTTAAACTAGCCTATTGTCTTTTATTAGGTCCTCAGTTCTACTTTCTCTGTGAGAATTTGGCCATTTGAATGGTTAAAATTTAAAACATAATGAAAATCAAGTAGAGCAACACATTTTTCCAGCCTCTCTTGTAAAAAAAAACAGTAAATTAGAAAATTCATGAATACTAGCCAAATTAGTATTTAAATTAATTTGAATATGTGCTGCTTTAGGTTCTTCACACGTTTTTATTGGCCATTTTTTGTTTCAAGAACAAGGTCTAAGATTTAGAATGAAATTGTAAAAAGTTTTCTCTATTTGTAAACAATAAAGTTTTTCGTGAACAATACTTTCACACAAATTGTGTTTTCTTGCACAGCTGGATGTTGCACTCATAAAAACATAGTTTGCACTGAACAAAACAGATAAGTTGAAGTCACACCAAAGCAAGAGGATTCTGCTTGGTCTTAAGCCGCCCCCTTGTGGCAGTCGCATAGAATTTTCAGTTATGCCGCGCACCATGGGAGAGAAGCTGTTCTCAAGTCCAAAATAAAGTAGTGCAAAAGCAAAAGCCTTTATTCTCTATGTGCTCACCATGGTTAAAGGAATGAATACTAGAAACTAACGGACCAGTAAAATTATTGGTGGGAATGTGGGAATAACATAAAAAAATCATAGTTGCAGGAATATTTCAACAGATTCGCAGCTCAAATCGGATTCGACCTTTCCGCACAGGAGATGATTGGAACTCCGAGCAGCTCTCGGACTACTCTTTATTGGAAATTGATGACTTCCTGTTTGTCGCTTGTTGTGTGCAGTGGAAAGGAAAAAAAATGTGTTTTGGTGTTTCGTGACCCTTTAAAGTCTTTTTCGATGGACATCCGGGACCTTTGTCACCCCCTTCCCCCACTCTCCCAACCCATAGGCCTGCTTGTGCTTGTGTGGACAGGGCCTTAGACATCCATGCTGCTCAATCTGCACTTGTGTTTTGTGTTTAATCTAGCATCTTGCATAGTCATTTGTGTAGCACATGGCTCATTCTCCCATCTAGCTCCTCCTACCAAGTTGTCTGCATTTTCAGTCATTCAGTTGCCCTGTCTTTGGTTTCCCTATTTTTGCCCGCTTTATATTTTCCTCATGTTTCACCAGTTTATCTCACTTGGTTTGTGAAGCCTGCCCTATTGTACCTTTTGAGCTCTGCCTTAATTTTTTTGTCTTGCCCTGCAAGCCCAATTTTATTATTATTTTTCCCCCCAATGGGTAATTTTATTTACTTTTTCATTAAATGACAATCCTGACAACCTGTGCATCTTGAAAGAACTTCCTTAGACAAAGTACTTTACATTCAAATGCAGTGCATAGACAGATGGAAGTATTTAGTCAGGAGCTCGAGTGTTGCTCACAACACATGAAACTTTCACTTTATATTCTGCAACATAGGTTCATTCTGAAAACGTAGCCCTATATACTAGAGGTATAAACCTACACTGGTCTCATGGTTCGGTTCAGTTACGATTATCATGCCATTGATTTGGTTCAATTCGATATCTTGGTGCATCAAGGTGCATTGACGATGCTTTCCATACATAATTTTATATTTTACTTCACAGAAAAAGCATACACAGTGGCCTTTTGAAGATTCGCAAAACAAAAACTGCAAAAAAAACAAAAAACGTATTTGGCGCTCTCCAGAAATATATAGCAGTACATTTTCGGAATGAGCCTGGGTTGGCATTCTGTAAAACCTTTTTCATAGATGTGAACCTCATTCTCTGAACCAACACTTTTGGCTGAAAACATTAATTAAACAGAAACAAGAAACATATGTTTTCCCCCATGGATCAGCAGTTTGGTATCAAATCAATACCCACAGAAATGTTAATGCGCTGTCTAATTAGGCTGTACAGATGCATAATGTAATTCAAACAAACGCTCTTCTTTTGTTGCTTTCAGATTTTATTTACCAAGTCCAGCACTTGTAGTATAATGCATGTAAATACAGTCTGTTCAGAATATGGAAGATTTCGAATGGAGGAATTCCCAGACAAAGAAAAATACATCTAATCTTCTGGTTAATTTAGGTTAATAAAAACAAATAAACTTCAGTATTTTTTTGAACATGGATAGACATGCCAAGATAACAAGCAAATGAGAAGCCAATCAATTGCACTGCACTGCAATGCAAAATAAAAAAAAAATGGGTCATTGGTTTTGTTTGTGCACTAGACGCCTGCTTTATTTCCAAATCATTATGCCGTGTATTTAGAAACACGACACTGGAAATAAACTAAAGAGGACAAACCAAAGCTGTTCCAGTCAAATAAGACTTTGGAAAACAAGAACAAGTATATGTTAGGTTGACCTATGAATGTGCGCTTAGTCCTGGAATGACACCAAAAATAGAGCCAATTACCAGGACATCAACACAAAAGGCCAGTGTCATGGAAAAGGTTAAGGATTGGCTTAGAATTAAAATGATTTTCAAAGGAATGTCAGCAGTGACCCAGAGGAGTATCTACTGTGACTAAACATAGCAGTTTTTTACAATAATGTGTAGCTTTACTAGTAACAAGTTACTTCATCCAACAAGTACTGCAACAAATCGAAAC